AACGTGAAAAACTTTCGTTGGACGAATTTTCTTGTAAACTTCATATTTACTGAGATATCGCACTTTGACGCACTAATGAGCAACCCTGTATATCTATATGTACACTATTAATGCGCAAATTAGTTTCGTCCCGTCTGTATTGCCAAAAGATGCGCATTTTTTGAAGTTGAACATTATTTAACGAAAAAAAGTAGGTACATCAGACAAGAACTGAACATCACTTTTCCTTGAAAAAACCCATGGGTTTTCCATTTTGCCAAAGCTACAAATTAGGTTTGTCTGGACAAATACCAATAATCAACCGTCATTTAATACTAAATATCACTGAAGCGTTTCAAGTGGTTTTATAGCAGGACATTTTCCGGACAATAGTTTATAAGAAAACTCCCATTAATTTTCCATTTCCACAGCAATAAATTTCTGCGTAACATTGAGAAACATGCTGCATATTACGGCTTAACGTGCCTACAGAATATATGTATGTTTTTCAATTGCAGATATTTTCAGCCAAACGCATAATTCAGAGTTTTACTTAACAGAGTCATTGAAAAGAGCATTTAATGTTGAAGGCGATTTAGTTGAAGCTATAACTGTAGAAAAGTTTTGGGAGGTACGTATATAAATTTTCCTTCATTTATAAAATTTGTTTATTTGAGGCCTGACATACAATAATATACATAAGTGATGAATAGTTACATACTAAGACAACATACATATTAAACCACATTCTTTTTAAGCTGGAATTGTTTTTTCAGCATAAACCAAAATTGTGGTTTCGATTTTACGACTTAAATACAGGGTGTCCGGTAAGCACATGATCAAAAGGATACTGCGATATTCTTTGCATCAAAAGAAAACGATCTGACCGAACTTCTATTAACAAAAAATGTCTGGCTCCTCTGCTATTGATGGCCAAAGTTCTTCAAAAAATTATTTTTTTTTAAATATCGGGAGAATGGTACTATGTATTTTGGTCAAACTCGCTGTGAATTTGTTCTTATGTAAGACTCATATTTTGATGAAACAATCGAGTTCAGCCGTTTTGGACAAGTGGTGAATTCTTGAGTGTCGTGGTACAAAAACTATCAGAACTTTTTATTTGGTGGAGGAAATCAACTCATTTGTTTTTGCTTGATGCACTAATCATTTATTCACAATTTTGTGCTCTGTGTAAAATCTTGTAGCATTCATAGTTTTTGCGCAAAAAAGTATGTCTGTTTTCTTGCCAGACATTTCTTGTTAATAAAAATTAGGTCAGATCGTCTTCTTTTGATGCAAAGAATATCGCAGTATCCTTTTGATCCAGTGCTTACGGGACACTATGTATATGTAATTATTAAATTTTTAATATTTACAAATTAAATTACTAATAGAATAAATGAGAAAATTATTATTACTTCGAATATAAAAAGAAAAATGTTTTCAGTACGTAAGCAGCAAAATGTTAGAGGAGTTCTATGGATCCGACAAAGTTAAAGGGTTAAGAAAAAAATCAGAGTAAGTGCATTCTCTAATGACAATCTACGTCTGGCAATAGGAAAGGATTATAAAAAAATAATCTGCAACATGTTGGTTGAATAATCAAAATGTTGTTTTCAATTATTTATAGATAGAGGTGGGTCTTCTAAATCTGAAAGCTAAAGGAACACGAAGGAGACCAAGTGATTTGTGAAAATATATTTATGGTGCGAATACTGAATTTTTTTTTAGGTAAAAGTGTCTGAAAATTCTTGTGAAATTCATGGATACTTTTTCGGCAGTGTTTCAATAAGTTTGAGAGTTCCGCGAGAATCGAGACACTTTTAGATTAGAACAGCCAACTGCGTAAGCTAAAACATAGTTTGGTGCATGTTTGTTATCGCGTTGGGTCAGAGACAAGTTGGTTGGGTGATGTTTTTCTTGATTAAGTTCATGCGTTATATCTCTTTTTTGTTGAAATTTCATTTTTTTGTGCGTTTAATTTCTGTCACCGACAAACTTATTTTTGCAGATTATTTCAAGTCAATTTGTTTTAAACACTGTCGCTATTTTCTTAATTTCTCTGTCTAAAAGCCGTATTTGGTTTTAGATGGATATATAGTGATGCATCAAGAACCAAAAGTATCAGATATTGGCTTTCATTGACTTCATATTATGGTGGTGGATTTTATGCGGATTTTTCGTTGAATCTGAATGAAAGCATGACACTATTAGATACATTGCAGGAAAATCTATGGATTACGCGAGGAACTCGAGCTGTATTTGTGGATTTCAGTGTGTACAATGCTAATTTGAATCTATATTGTATCTGCAAGTAAGTATTTGATTAAAGACCAAGTTGTTCGGGATTTTATGCAACTAATGCGTACTTTTAGAATTATTTTTGAATTTCTACCCCCCGGAGGAGTATCGCCAGCCGTTCAATTTACCCCTGCCGCTCTAACTCCGTTCGGCAATATATGGGACTGGATATTAAGAATATTACTTTACTACTTCTCTGCTTACATTATGTACTGCCTTTGCGAAGAAATCAGAGAGATGGTTCATTTTAAAGGCACATATTTTATTCAGTTTTGGAATTATGTTGATCTGATTATAATAATGGTGAGTTTTTTTTGTGAAGTAGATAATAAATAGAAAATTATACTTTTTCATTGTCATTTTTTATTATGGAAAATAATAGAGGTCTAATTTAGAATCATTTTAATGATTTTTAGCTGACATGTCTGTTGGTAGTTGGGACCGAATATATGAAAGCTGTAATGGCTCCTTACATTGAAGAGATCCCTCATAATCCTACTCGTTATGGAAATTTGGAGACACCTGGAATCATTTACCAAGTGGTCAAAACAAGCGGAGCCGTCTTATTATTTTTTGTTTATCTACGCACGTTCAAGTACTTGAATTTCAGCAGACGAATCGCTCAGCTAAACAACACGATTCGTAATGTGAGCAAAACCATTTATTAGCAATTAAAGCGTGGTGGAAATTAAGAAAAAAATGCAATTAGTGTCTTAAAGTCTTAGTGCTGCTCGGTGTGATAAGTATTGTTTTTATAGTGTTCCAAAGATATTCTTGGTTTTTCCGTGATGTTCTTTGTCGCCTATTTTGCATACGCTGAACTAGGATATTTGGTGTTTGGAAGCCAGGTAAATTGACTCATTTAATGGAAATTCATCATTAGCAGTTTAGCATATATTTTTTACTAATTTTTATGATGATTATGTCGACAATAAGACAAATTCATTTCGTTTCAGACCGATGAATTTCGCAGTTTTGGTCAATCAATGTTCACTCTCCTTAGAACTATACTGGGAGATTTTGACTACGAAAAAATTAGTAATGCTAATTGGATAGTGGCTCCCGTATATTTCCTGACTTATATTATCCTAGTGTTTTTCGTTCCGCTGGTAAGCAAATTAAAGACTAAGTGGTGACTTGAGTTTACTCGGAAAACCTACCGGATTTTTTTGATAAATTAAATTTGGTAGTCACAAATTATTTAAAATTATCGGGATTTTTCAATTCAATTAATCATCAATTTTCAATTCAACAACAAATTAAATTTTCTTTGAATACATACATACATACATTTTCATCAAACAATAACATTAAATTATGAGATAACATTGGAAAAAATTAATATACACTTTTTACGTATTTAATATTCAATTTGATTTGTTGCAGAACATGTTCCTGGAAATCATTAATGACACTTACGCCGACGTTAAAATCGACATAGCGATTGCGCCAAAAAAAATTGAAATGTCTGAGTATATAAAGAAAAAGTGCCAAAATTTATTCAAAAAATTTTGGATGTGCAGTGAAAGAAGAAAAGGAGAAACCAATGATGATTAACAGTAATGTTAATCGCATTAGAGACGCACTAATTAAGTCAGATTCATTTATGTTTATATTCAAAAACTAAACTTACTAAAAATTTAGAAAGCCAATATTTATTTGCATTTCCACGTGCTAGTTATTAATAAGATTAAATTTCAGATGCGACTTTGATGATCGTGAAATCGAAATGTATTTCAAGAGATATGATATAGACCCATTAAAAGACTTGCAAAAAGAGGATATTGAACGATTCTATGAAATGTTTGGTGAGTAATACAGATTAAATTGGTTAAAGTGTCCTACGGATCCAATATTTAAATTATGTTAATCTTGCATTTTTTAATTGCGCAGCTCAAGAGGATTTAGCAAGAAAGAGGGGCGAAGAAAATATTGTTACTTGGAAAGGCTTTCAAAAGTAAGTTACTTTGTAAACTGATGACTTACCCCGTATTTAAAAATCTTTTGATTTTACGGTTTGACTCAAAAAGTTGTAGAAATAATGTTGATCTTTTAAATAATATTTACTGACAAATAGGTACAGTTTACACTATTTTAAGTTGTCTCTTAATCACAAATCGGTTTTCTACAGTAAGAAAGCAACAATTACAAGTTTTAATAATAATTAAGTTAAAACGCCTTTTAGCATCAGAAAAATGTACTTTAACGTAAGCATATTTATATGAAATAATTTAATACCTGTTTGCTTACACTTACCTTAATCCTCCCTATATTGCTCATTTTCTGAGTAAGTAAGTAACTAAAAACGACTTTCCTGTGTGCATATTAATGAAAGTCCTTTGAGGCTTTCTGACATTTTCCTATAAGAGCGTGATAAAAAAAGCCACTTTGTCCAAATAAGCACAACGTTTTAATTTACAAAAATCATAACAGCAATTTAAATTTGTAATCCGCGATATTTCCATACTTGATGTCTTAATAGACATAGCAGTTTCTCCCTTGTTTCCTGCAGTACATGTCATTGATTATTTTGTTTTAAGCAGAATAAAAACTCGATATTGCTTTGCTTCTCGACTGTGCAATTTTTTGTCGTTTTATTCATGTATGTTGTATTATTTTGTGTATAACTTGAGTTCGTTGAACGATCCCAGCTTTCTTCAATATAACTCATGTTTGAAAACAACCGGGTCACGCCGTTCCAATCGGTGTTGCATGTTTTTAAAAAAGACAGATGTGATTTATTTTGATAAAGAATCTTGATAAAATCTCGTTTAATTAGTTAGACCTTAAGAAAGTTGTAGAAAATATTGAATATTTTAGGCAAGATGATAAATTGGTTGAGTTGGAAAACACTCTAGCGATGGTGGGACAGAAAGTGCACGATATTTTGCGATTAATCGAAGGCATCCAAGATGCTCATCCAAAGCCACTGTTGCTGTAACGAAATGTGAAATGAAGGTAATAAAACAATGTTTTAAATGTTTTTGATATGCAGATATTATAAACCAATATCTATTTACAATAATTTACATAGCATAATACAGATTTATAAGTTCAGTCAATAATTGATAATATGTTTTTATAAACCTGTTTCATACAAAGACTGAGAAAGAGCTTGTATAATAATTGACTTTTCGGTCAAGTCGAAAATACTTTACATATTGGCCCTTTTTCAATTAAGATAATACGCTTAATAATATACTTATAATTATTGCAACATAATTACAGTAAATTAGCTACACATGTGATGAGCATTCTAAGATCACAAAATGGCATGTGGTACTCTATGAAATACCAAGAAAAATTTAGAATTGAAGCAAATTATACACTGTCAGCACAAGTCGAAAATAACCTGCAACAAATGAAATTATATAATGATCTACTTAACTAAATTTAACCGAAAATATTCCCTAGTGAAATGGGATGGTTTTCCAAAGTAATTGCAACTAAATTGCACATACAATAAATACATCTGCCTAGTTACTTAATCTACGTAGGCATGGAAAATACTTCAACATTATTATATAAACTGATTTTAGATTTTAAGGAGATACATATTTATGCTGATATTTTCAAGGCTACATCAAGGGTTGCTTCGGTGATTCCAAGTCCACTATATCGAAAATTTCAATTTAATTTGAGACAATTTTGCCGTGTTCAATAACAGGCTCGCAATTCAATATACTTTTGCCAATAGGAACGAAAATAATCTGTACGAATTGCCACTTTTTCTTCTATCACAGTCCTAAGTAGTAAATAACAATTTCTTACGCGTTAAAGTAATAAATACATACATTGTATACAAACTGAAGAAGATAGAGTATATCAAATAGAAAATGTAAAAATACAGTTATGTGCAAATGTTATGATACAATATACATGGTAAAATAAAAAATTGAAATACTTATCCAATTATGATTGATATGACTGGAAATAGTTTAAATACAGTTTTTAAATTACTGACAATCAAAATTACTGAAAACAATTATTTTTCGCTAAAAATATTCATTCCTGTAGTGGGGTTAATATCAACGACTTTTTTCGTTTTCTTAGAGAAACATATTGATGTATATACTTAAAAGCAAAAGTAACAACAATATCAGTCTGTTCAGAGAGCTCAGTAATGATAAAAATTCCATTTGAAATTGTAACAAAATACATAGATCTAATTACATTAGTTACGTTTGCATAACCTGGGAATAAAGTAATTAAATCAAGCTGTAACACGATATAAGACAGTCGCATCTCTTAGTTTTATGTTATGTAGCATAATGTACAGATAGATTCGATTTAATTTAAAAATTATTTTAAATGCAACAAAACGACTAAAATACTGTAATAAAGGGGAATACTGCAACTTCCAAAAAATCTGGCAATATGATTTTTGAATAAGAGAGGTTTGAAATGTAGCTACTACATTTTATCAGCAAGCGTCATGAACATAGGGGAAGTGTTGACAATGATCGATGGCTTCCTTACTAAAACGGATTAATAAAATTGGTAAGGGTTTTAAAATAGATTATTTAAGTTTCCATTTTAAGTTTCCATGTTTTTATACTATATAGTTTTATTTCTACTTGAAAGAACTTCGAATGAGTTAAAGATTTATTTTGATTTTTATTTTGATCGCTATTCAGAGGTTGATCGTCTACATTCACTTTCCCAAAATATGCGTGCTTGCACTTGATTTGAAATTGCACTCTTATCTTCTTAAAAAAAATTGCCATTTTCAAAATAATTTTTTTTCCAATTATAATTGTATCGGGATACTACTGCTCTCTCTCTGAGAGAAGAATCAATTTAATTTGAACATTTTTTCATTTGAAATACCACACACATGAACGATCATAATATTGTAATTTAATGCTGAGAAAGCGTGTTTTCCGATAATTCAACATTTTCTCCAAATGTTTTCAAGTATAATTTCTAGAAATTCATTTTATTTAAAAGAAGTATCATGGTCTACTTAGCAAATTAACAGCAGTAAAAATGGGTTTTCCCTATTTAGAAGCCACACTTAGACGGTTTAGCTGAACAGATATAGTGACATCCGCAATAAAATGGCATACCAGACTAATTAAACAAATAACTATCAGATACTAAAAAATACTTTAGATGGTTAATAGTATCCGTTTTTGCACTTTCTTCATTGCGAAATGGTGACTGACCGAATTTTAGAGTTTTGGATTGCAGTATTTTTTTTTAAATTTAAATGCAAATCGAACAACTTAGCGGCTACTTTATCATCATATGACACTTCATAGACTATTTACATGAATTTACTGATACTTACTTGAATACACTCATAAAAATTCACAATTGATTAAAAGCAGTAAGAAGAATAGAGCCTACTTATTTCCGAAGGATATATTAGTTAACAGCTCTCTCTCTAAGGAATCACATTCAGCCAAGTCCTCACCATGTGAGCGATAATAACTAGAAGCCATATTACTGTCAATGCTGTCGTAGTAAACATTTTTCGTTTCCCAAAGAAATGTATTTGCCGTGTGAAATCGGTGACTTTCAGAGTCAGTTGTCGTTTGATGAACCGAGCTCTTATCCATTAAGGAATCTGGATAATCTGGCAGTTCATTATCATATGAAGAGAGAATCCATGGAGATAGAGATTTTCCGTTTGGCGATGTTGAGCCTTGAATCTACGAAAGAACAATCATAATTAGCTATTTACAAAGCTTACACATTGTATAAATTAGCATCATTTTAATGGCAGTATGTATATATATATAGTTAATTATCATGAATAAGAATATTTAAAAGCATTTGAAACGTTCACTGTCTGGTCTAGATGACTCACAAACAATACACTTATTGCCTTAAATTGTTGTAGGTTTAATCTTGTCAGGTTTTCCTGGGTTTTAGCATTAAAAAAGTAACCATATGTATAAATCAGAATTAGCAAACATTTAATGGGACCTGATGAATGTTTGAAAAGAAAAGTGGTTATTTTAATACTGCGAATTATTTGTAATTTGTTTATTATCTGGAGGTTGCCGTAACTAAAGTATTACCTTGCGTTACAACGCTACTTGAAAACATCCACTCGTCGATTTTATTACTAACCTTGAAAGAGCATGCCTCCGCACGTTAGAAGCAAATTAAAAGAGCATTGGCATTTACAGTAGAAAATAGAATATTGCATAAATCAAAATAATGCAGTACTTTAATTTATAGACGACATGCAACATGCATTTACTTAATTAAAGGATTACTTTTATAAATCGTTTATTTGAGGTGTTAGGAACTGAAACGGGTCAATTAATTGCCTTACTGATATCGGATATTGGAAGTTTTACGTCTACCACATCATAATCACCTGCCATTGGAGCCATAATAGCATTAAAATTACCATATTATTGAGATTCAGACTGGTTCACCGATCGATTAATTAGCAAAAAATAAGCGATCCGTGCTATTGAATGGTCTGATCCAATGAGGAAGAAATAAATTTAACTATAATTAAATTACTCATTTTGTATTATTAAAAACTGTTATCGATTGGCTGAAGAAGCAATAGGTGAATTAATGGAAAGAAATTGCATTAACGTCTTTAAATAAATGCAAGACAACATAAGGCAAAGCGAGATCTGATATGTCATAAATCAAAGAAAACATTCCGTTACAATAAATTAGAAATGTTTAGATTACAACTCATTAGCTTTATAATAATAATGAACTGCACCAAAAGAGTAAACAAAAAGGAAATTGATATCTTACGATTATGTTTAAAAAAAAGTTAATCATGTTAATAATCTATAAATATACACTTAGGAAAAACACATGATAATGATGAAAAATCAAAGTACTGATAAAATTTTAACAAGCATGAAAACATAATGGTTAATTGGCCCGAACTTTAATAAATTTGAAATGCAACAAAAAAAGGAAGATAACGTATTTCCTGTTATAGTATATAAAAAAATAATTAACAGGAATTAAAGATGTTATCGCCGTCCTGTTCGTTCTGCTCTTGTGTGTTAGTTATCATATGAAATAATAATCAATTAGTATCTGAGACAGAAGCGTAACGAAAATTTTAATTGGACTAAACAAGAAGATATATTTATTGTACAGTAAGTGGCAAATCTGGACGAATATTTTTAAAATTCCAATATATCAGCTTTACGGTAAATCTGGCTATTATTAAAAAAATTGATTCAACTGATATCAAAACAGTCGGTTTAAGCACAGATTAAGAATAGATAAATACTTGTCGAGTTGTTTGGCTTGAATTTAAATCATTCATTGTCCAGACGTGAGTATGTCTACATCAACATTTCACATTTATTTTAGAATAAAAATATTTTATAGAAAGTATACACTTAACCATCGTTATTCAGTTGCCGTAATAATTCAACTACCGTAGATTTACGTGCACGGACAATCGGAGCGAAACAGATTTACACAATCGTAATTGCACATCAGTGGCGTAGACACTTGGGCAATGTATATAAAAACACATTATCAAGTGCAACAAGTAGTCCTGTGGTAATTTGATTTGTTTCAGCAGGATTTCTGCAATTTTTTTGCTCAATTTTCCCTTAAAAATTTAGTATGTATGGCTTGCATTGAAAAACACCAGTGAATTGTGTTGGCAATATTTCGGTTGATGGATTTGTAAATTTATAACTTAACGACTTAACTTTTTATGATTTCCATAACTACAATAAGAATTCTTATAAAAATCAGGTTTACCAGTAAAATGTTTTTTTTTGTGTTTGGCTTACGAGTGAAGCTTAAAACGGTGACTAAAAAAATGGGTTTAAATGCAAGCTAAAAACAGCTGAATGGTTGTTGCTTCCTTATTTTCTACACAAAAAATGTTTCAGTTTGACTTAACTGAATAAATAATTTTGAAAATTGAAAATCAGGGAGTTATACATATCTTTAAACTACAAATACAATTACAAAATACTCCCTTGTTGAAAAGAAACGAACACACCAGCTTCTGAATTTTTAATAATTTTACTACATTTCGGTGCATTTTCTAGATTTCGTTCGCACCAACCGTGGCATGGTTGGTTCAGTTCCAGATATTAACATGCATAATGTAACAAGGAAATGCGGTTGATTTCCAGTTATAATATTTGCAGTTTCCTGTTTCTGGTCGTAACAATGTCATCGAAATATTTCGATTCACTTCGGCACCCGATTACAAAATACAAACAAAGGAGTTGTGCGGTGGAACGGGTTTTAATTTAATTGGGTTAGTTTCATGTTTTATAACTTTTAATTTTGCTAAGGCTGAAACCGTTTCGTTTAAATTGATTGCGAAAGTGGCCGATTGTTCAACATTAAACGGTTTTGTTTTAGGTATTGTTGTCGCATCAATCCACTTCCTGATAGAAAGACAGGACAATTATTGTGGGGAAATAAGGAAGAATAGTTTTTTATTTAAAAAAAATATCATGCCTATAGATGCCTTTCAGTTTTATGCAATTTAAAATTTTTAAACCAAATTCATACACTATAGCAAGCAATATACGTCCAAGCCATACTCATACAAAGCCCAATAGATAACTTGGAAACACAAATATTCACATTATTACCATACTTAATAATTTTTGACTTGTAAAAAACCGCCGAGAAAAAATTTTCAGATTTTTAAACATAAACATTTCTGAAAGGGTATATAGAAAAACCATAACAGATGTCGCAACAATTCTTTAACTCGACAGTTTAAAGTTCTTTTACTTTTTCTTAGATTCTTAAAGTTTGGTATTAACAATTTTTGCAAGGCAGTGCAGCAGAAGTTTGCATAATATTCTATCTTATTGAGAGCAAACTAATAAAAATATATAAACTATTTTTATATTTGCTATTGTAATATAATTATTTCACGTTGACAAAAAACCTGTTAAAACATAGTAAATAAATATATAAAACTGGTGAAAAAAATCAGCATTTAATTTTGACTGTAATTTTACGTGTAATATTGGATTTGCTTAATAAATTAAATAGACTTAGCGAGCAGGATATAATTGCTTATAAACATTTAATAATTATCTTTAATTATACAAGTTTGCGCAATCATTGTTCCTTGAAACACTTATTAATCTCGCATTTGCCGATACGCAATGATTATTTGAAATAATATTTTTGCATCAAATAAAAAAGTGGTATTAATAATTCATATTGAACTCGATTGGTGTGAAACAAGACTGTATCAATATTACTGGGGCAAGATGTTATTTTGCAGTATTTATTTGCATTTGAGAAAAATAAAACATACCAATTTTTATACCAAGATCAAATTAATTAAAGCAATTTCTCATCAATGTATTTTTGTTGAAGAAGTGTATGGTTCTTGTTGTAGCTTTTGCTTGCTTAAATATCCATTAGAGGCCCTTGAAAAATATCAAAATTTTTAACGAAACGTTTCTCTAATTTTTTGATGAATGAAAAAGTTAAGTTAGATTGTGTACTTATTGTTAGTGCTTGATAACAACGTTTATTCTTAGTGTTTCCATATGTACACTGTGCCATCTCGATAAGTATGGGAATAAAGTGAATATCACCCAAACTAACTACTCTACACTACTTACTCCAGCTACAGACCGTCGGACAAAGCGAACCCATATGATACATCCCAAGCATAAGCCGATTAAGCGACCGTGGCAAATAAAAATAAAATATAAAGCCTGACTTACTCCACTCACTGTGTGGCACGTAACGAAAAAAAAGTCCTGCTATTGATTGCTGTCCCGCCTGAAGAAACTCCATATTGAGGAAGTTGTTTTGGACCGTACCTTTTCGTCCTTAGGAGCTGTCCACTTGGAGGATGGGGTCTTCTTCAGGCTGTTTTGCTGATTCGGAGAATTGCTCTTCGCTAGCGAATCGGTGCCGCGCAACTTGCTGGAAAGAGAATCTCTGGCTGAAATCAGAGAGCTATTTCTGGATTTTGGGAGGGAGTTCTTCAGGCTGCCGCTTTCCGCGCCTCCTCCTCCTCCAGCGCTTCGGTTCCTCCAGGAATGTGACGAGTGCGAACGGTGTGGCGATTCGCCACTACGACTGCGCGGTGCAGGGCTGTGTTTACCTGCGGGTGCGTGATGACGTATGAATATGGGGTGTTCAGTGTATGGTGGTGGTGGGTGTGAAAAGTCAAACTAATTACCAAGAACTACATGATATCTAATTACTACTTAGTTATAGTTATATTTCCTTGTATTTGTAAAATCTGCTGTTAATTGAATAATTAATTCTGATCAAGAACCTCAACTGCAACATTTTGATGCATATACAGGGTGTTCCGTACGCACATGACCAAAAGGGCACGATGATAATCTGTAGACCGAAATAAGACGATCTGACCAACTTGTACTAAGAAAAAATGTCTGGCTGCTCGCTATTGATCGTTAAAGTTCTTCAAAAAAATTATCTTTTTTGAAATATCACGAGAATGGTAATGGATTTTAATGAAACTCGCTATGAATTTGTTTCTAATGTCCGAGTTCAACCGCTTTAGGCGGAAGTGAGGGATTCAAAAACTATCAGAACTTTTTATATTTTGCTAAACCCTCGCTTCTTCTTTTCGCGAGTTTTGTGATGAACGCAATTCGGACGAAAACGCTTCCAAAACACGAACGGGCCTAAGACTTTGACCATGTCGGTAGCCTGAAATTTATAAAACGGTTGACAATTAATATATTCAAAAGGAACATTATCGCTTACAAAGACGATTGCAGTTAATGTATCAGATTGTTAAATAACAAAAACACAAAATTTTTTTTTTGCAAAAGCTTTGAATACTACAAAATTTTACAAACAGCTCAAAAATGTTCAAAAAGGATTAGTGCATCAACACAAAAATCAGTTGATTCCAGCTACCAAATGAAAAGTTGTAGTAGTTTTTATACCAAATTCACAACGAGTTTCAAAAAAATCAATCGTACCATCCTCCCGATATTTAAAAAAACATATATATTTTTTTTGAAGAATTTGGATTTTCAATGAGCAGGACATTGCTTCTTAAGAAAAGTTAAGTCATATGGTTTTCATTTGAGCCCAAGAATGTATCAGAGCCCTTTTGATCATATGCTTAAAGGACACCCTGTATATTTAATCAGAATTAATTAATATTTTCAGATAGGGAGTGAGTTGAATAAATCAAAGTTTTGTAGTATGATGACGGGAGAAATTGATTTTCCGCTGTTTACCGTGCCTTTGAAATGCGCTCATTTAATATGATTTTCTATGGTGATTAAATAAGATAAGAACAAAACTCTTAAAAAATGCAAATAGTCGGAATGCGGTAAATTGCAAAGTACCTATATTTTTTTCTTGGGGACAAAATGAACGCCCGGATTCAAAGTACTCAAAGATTCGTTCAGATTATTTCGTTAAGCCACAACGTAACGAACATAATCCTTAAAAATTCTATGCAATTGCGATACAATTCAATCAAACAAGCATTTTGTAATAAAGTCTGTATGTGATTCAATGATATAAAAAATAACCCTTGGATATTTTATTGTCTTTGGGTCTGCATCGTATGTTATTTGTTTCTCTTTGTAACATTTCATTGGTTTGTTTGTGAAGCCTCATGTTTTTTAAAGTAGATTCTATGGGTTGTCACTGCCCAAGGCAGTCACCGAATTATTTTAGTTTTAAGTGTGCATTCATTACTTTCTAGGTACACAACAATTTTACCAGTTCGCCCGGATCTCCTTCTTCCTGCCAACTTAAATAAGTTTTGTGGAAACGTCTTTAATATTCAATCTGTATCAGATGATCACCGGAGTCAAGTCAAGTTCATGTTCATGTACTCGTTTTTTATATAATTTTAGTTCGTTTTCCTAGTCAGTTTATTCTCTACTCTTTTAACCATTTTGACCATGGTGTGCTGTATTTTGGCCCCTGGTAAGTTACCCCTTTTTTCTTTCTTATCCATTTGCAGGATATTTCCCAAAGTACAAACTGAATGAAAATGAAAGGATTACAAAGTGATGAAACTGTTTCTTTGTTGCTTTTTAGTGGCCCTGATGAAAACGCAATCGTGAAAAGCGCTTTGCTTAACTATTATTTAAAAAAATATCCTTGGAATGAATCACAATCACACTTTATTACAAAAGGCTTGTATGATTGAGATTTATCCAGTGTGTACACACTTACTTCTTCTCTCAATTGCGATACAGTAGTTTTGTGCAGAAATTAATGGATGAACATGAGTGTTTCTCATGTCTCGCTGGCATAAAAAAGTATCTAAATWTTTCCTTGAAGTTAGGCTTCAAGGACTAGATTTTATTTTAATTTAAGTACATATCTGGATGGATTTTAGAACTGAAAATGTAGTTTTCAAAAATCAAAGTATTCAAATGTGGGCCCAGCTTAGTATGGAAAGTGACAACAATACCAGAAAAAGTCGTTAGACAGACATAATTAAAGCCCAATTTCATCGGAAAATAAACTTGTTCTCATACTCTCCATGTAACACCATGTTACTCCTTCAAATAAATTAACTCAATTTTGAATTAGATGAACTCTTGATTTGTTCTTTTGTTTGAGTCACTTAATTTTTTCTATTCCAAACGAAAATAATTATATTTTAGCAACTTTTGATAGCAACAAATCATCACTGATTTCGCTGTAACTGCTACCATTTTCAAAATATCCCATATAACGAACCAATATCCATCGTCCCATCCCGTACTGTTGAAGCAGGAAAATGATATCAGAATAATTCAAATTTAAACGTTCAACATTCCACTATAAGACCAGGATTTTAGAATCAAATGCGTATATAAAACAAGAAATGTTGGAATAATAAAAAATAAACTGGAACTGGTTATTTAGGAGTATTCATATTGATGTTCTTTCAGTATCTCTACAGTCTTTAATCGATTTGAATTGTTTTTGAACGTACTTTTTCTCTTTTAATAAGACCATGTTTTTAATAAGAACGGTATATTTTGGCAAGCCCCTAAAAAGAGAAGTGAGCGTTATTGTGAAATAGTTGTGAGGAACTAACTACGCATCACCGTTTAATTAATTTAGATTAAATCAGCCATATGCGCGAGTATTACGGAAATTACCGGAAAGTGAGTAAAAACTACACGAAAATTAGCTCGGAAATGAAATAATCTCTAACTTGCCTACTATATTATGTACTAGCTAATGCATGACATCGTCTATAATTGGCGTGTTCGAATAGTTCCAGTGAGAGTGGAATAAACAGTTTAATCAAGTAATGTTTGTTTGAGTATGTGGCTCAAGCTCGACGACAATGCTGCCGATGGTATTATTTGCTGATCTAGATTTTTGGAGCATGAAACTAATCAAAAGCAAACACGAACAATCACCTCAAAACAACAAACTTCCCGCCCGTTTAACCGAGAAAAAAAATCACCAGTACATACCTCCCGGTGGCTTTGGAGCTGTATAACTCTTCAATGGAATCTTGCTAGGTCTTCGCTTGGATCCGCTGCTGTCTTTACTCTTATTGCTCTCAGTTTGATCATGTGCAGACTCAGTACTACTGCTATGGTCCATTTGTAGGTTCATCGGTAACGGACTCATGGCTTTCATACTTGCAGTACTAGCAAAGAAACATACAAAATTAACGTGTAATAAGTGTCATTAAACATGAAACACATGCCCATTTACATGTGATGCTACTCTCATTAGCCGCAGTATCTGGGTTAGTTTATTTAGGGAATGAAAACTGGAGTGTGGAAATTACTAGACTGCGACATTGTGCATTGTTTGTTCTGTTATGGTGATATCATTTTTCTAAATCTATTTCTATTGTTAATGTAATTTTAAGTAAAGTACATTAACATTTTTATGCGCCATGTTGGTAAAAGTAAGCATAATTTGACTAGAGGAAGCTTTTCGCAAAGCCTAAATCCAAAAATACAGTTTTTTCTTGCTTAAATTAGAATATAAGACACTTACCTAATTTCAGTTCGTGATGACGGCCTATGGTCTTGAGTAACATGGAGATCAGGTATAATATCAGGTGATGTGCTTTTCGTAACGTTGGGCTTGTGAAGATCTTCAAGCACTCTCACTCGAGCTTTGGTACCTTCCAATTCTATAGTCCTATTTTCCAGCTGTAATAGATAAGGGTGAAATTATAAAAGTATTAAGTAGTTCTAGACTAAAAACAGGACGGGATAAGAAAATTTACTTCAAACCGAAGTTTAAAACTTACTTCGAACCGTAAGTCTTCGTTTTCTTCCACAGCCTTATCTAATCTTTGACGTAGTCCCAATTCTAATCCTCCCGCAGTATCCAGCTGCTGTTTCAATACCTGCGAAAGAAAAGAATATTATAAACTTTCAGCCAATAAATAATATTAAATACTTTTTTATTTTATTAGATTAGTTAAACGTTTGTATATTAAAAATGTGATAACCCTTCCTTCTACAGTGAAGTATGCCAGTAGATCGGGAGGGACAGATCATGAGGAACCAAATTGACTACGTATTGATTAGACAAAGATACAAAAATGGGATAATTTCGGCAAGAACATATCCAAGTGCCGACATTGGGTCAGACCAAAATCAGGCTTTGAATGAATCAACGTTTGAGAAAGGAGATCAACATAGTATTAACGAATCTAAAGGAGGAAATTCTCCAAAGCACTGGAATAGAAGACAAATGGCTTCTAATGAATACAGAAATAACTAGAAGTCAAAAGGGAGTACTAAAACTAAAAACACATACAAAAGAAACAATGGATGACATAGGATATTCGTCCGTTAATGGATGAAAGGAGACAATTAAAAACAAAGATAATATGAAATTTCGATACATAGACAAAGAGGTAAAGCATGAAATTAAACTAGCAAAAGATACATGGCTAAAGGAACAGTCCGAAGAGATAGGAGTCGGGTCAAGTGGGGTAATTGTAAGTCGTGGTAAATGTAAACATGCACAGATTTCAATTTAAATTTACAGCAAAATCTATTACGTTTGCTAATATTAAAGAGCTTCACGACCTCTCCTTATAAAGGCCTCCGCAGTTTCTTCTTTCCGTGAAAGGGCGTCCCTTTTCAATTCCCGCGAACTATTCGCTGTTGGTTGTTTTGTCGCCTATGCAAAATTACTGTGTACTGTCTAAAGGTAAGTATTGTTTTCTTGTTTTATAAAATGCTACAATATATTACTTTATCTACCTTCACTCGCATAAATACTGATTTATTAATAAACCGTTTGTTCTATTGTTGCATATACCCCCATAAAAAGGTAATATGGTGTAATTGTAAATAACATTTTGGGGCAAAAGTAAACAATGATTAAATTTCGAGATTAATAAAAATATTATTTTTTCAAATGTCTCGAAACTATGTTCCAAAGACTCGTAGACCGGCCTACAGTAAAGAAGGTATTGCTAATGTTGTCGCTGATGTGAAAAACCGAAACATAACTTATCGAGCATCTGCTGAATGCTAGAATATTCCAATTGCAGTCACTTCGAAAAAAAATAATGAGAGACTGCCTTCAATTAAGGAAAATCGTGGAAGAAAGAACACTTTCAACCAAGATTGTTGAATGCTTGCTATCTTGAGCTAATTCTAACTTATGGAGACGTTTTGACAACAGAAGAAGTTCTGAATAGGCTAAAGTTAGCTTAACAAAGTTTTTGAATAACTAACCGAAGAAAAAGCCTGAATGAAAGGAGGAAAAAATGAATTGAGAGGGTGCCAGAAGAGACAATGCCTACTGAAAATAGGAAAAAGAGAAAACAAACAGAAGAAAAGTAGTTCGGACGATGAAAAAAATGGCCATTCGTTATCACATGTTTCAGTAATGGAGACGCTTCTTTCGAGGAAGATTTTTATTTTGCAGAAGATCCGATTCCGACACCTATTTCAGAACTAGAATTGGTCTAAATTTTTTTAATAATAACCAGTTTACAAATAATTCACTCACATCAAAAACAATTTAAGTTTTGAGACCTAGTTGGAATCATCGCACAGCATCAATTTGGAATAACAAGGTCAAACCGTTCCAGTCAAGGATGGTGACCAATTAAAACCCGTAATCATGACATAAAAAGTTAATTAATATCCCAGCAGGTATTTCTTTTTATTTAAATTTACCTTCGAGTAAGTCAGCCACGTGAAAACCGATTTGGTCGATTCCACTGCGGTAATGATGTAGGCAATTTTTTTACTACTGTTATCTATAAATAATTATAGGTACATGGTGAACCAGTTTTAATATTTTCATATTTTTGGCAAATCCCTTAGCAATGTACTGAAAAAAACTGTTCTATTGACATGTTTTATTAATCTGTGAATCTGTTGATCAATAGAATTATATAAAACAAGTGCGGTAGAACTCGATGAATAAAATGCGATGTTAAAAATCTGAAGCTATCTTAACCATCCTGTATATAGGAGGTTTGTTTTTAGAGCACAAACATGCGGGTTTATTTATTACCCGGGTTGTAATACGAGGTCAACATAAGAAACGCGATCTGCCTTTGGATCATCCATTCAATCTTTTGCGTTTTATCCTTCAATCTGCCAGGATGTTTGAAAAGTTAAGAAAAAAACTCTAAAACATTATTGATGTTTGTTTGCCAGTCGAAAGCAGACGACTTAAACTTACTGACATTATTTTTCAGGAGTGTTAAATTTGCCATTTTATTACGCAATCTGTTTTAAGCAGCGACATACTTTGGCTTATGATTTCGATAACTATAATAATATAATATATAATTTTCGTATTACTATAAGGTGTTAACAGAGAGAAAGAATAAAAAACAGAAATAACCAAGACATAAACATTACACGAGCAAGTACTTAGCAGCTTACTTAGCACTTAGCTTACTAGCAGTTTTTGTGCCCCTGTAACAATTTAGTTAAATTGGGTACGACCGGTCAGGATTAGGGTATCAATTCACAGAAATGCAGTTGATTTTTAAGCAAGAGCAAATCCTTTAATACAACAAACAAAATGTTTTCACACAAAAAAGTGGATAACAGAAGCGATAATTTTGTCATTTTCGAGTTTATACACCCTTCAGTTCCTCAAGCTGCAAATCTGCTAACCTTATAGATAATTCCGTTCCAACAACTTCGACATGGCGTTTTTTGGAAAATTTTCACCGCTTTTTACTCACTTAAAGTCACTACTTTCCCATAAGAAAACAAAGGATGCTTTTTTCTCGTTTTCCGCTTGTACTTACTTTTTTTGCACACATTTTTTAGTTTTGTTAATTAGTTAAGGTTAATTATTTGTTTTTTTTTATATGATCAAACAGCCATATTCACAAAAACGGGAAATTTGGTAACCTGTTGCAAAATACTAAAGTATTGATTTTTGTTCCTGCAGTACCGGTATAGCGTAAAATAAGATACATTTATGCCGCTAGGAAGAAAAGTTGTTAGTAAAATGATTATCTATCAGGTTTGCATATTTTTACTTCGAATGCAAGGGTCGTATAGAGCGAAAACTACCCATCTTTTCAACATAAGGAATTTTAATACTTGCATGATTAATCGCAATATAAGTTTCACTAGCCACTATGTTTATTTATTAGCTGAAGCGTAATTAATTGAGAACGGTTCTTGCCCAAACGGGTATTGGAGATTTCCATTACTAAGTCGTTAAAATTACAAACTATGCTTCCACAATTCCTTCCATATATTACCGGTATTAGTAGTGTAAGCCCATTAAACAATTTGTTCGGCAAGTCACGTTTAATACCAACTGTGTCGTTCCTGTTCTAGTGATTTACTCTAAACGCCTTTGAAGTAATGGGTGTAAATCAGTCGCAGACACAGACGATTTTTCTTCCAACTAACACTGATTAGCGAAATTCTTTAAAGAAAAAAAAGACAAATTCCAACAACTTAATTGAATAATTAAATTATTTACAAACAACAATTAAAATGTTTTCGCACTTCAATGCCATTTTTCCCTGTGGCCTATTTAATTGAACAACATTGTGCTGTGAGTGTGATACTTTCCTTGAAAGTGTTGCACTCTTAAACACACATGACTTAAATTTCGCCTTGGGAGATAGGTCACTGGTATATACATAATTACATACCATTAAAAATTCACTTGACTTTCGCCATAAAAAGTGCTGAAAACGAGAGCAACTTTGAATCCTAATAAACACGTTTTCAATACAAGCAACAAATCTGGTCAGACTGTCTGTGACTTTTAATAAGTGGATCATTCAGGAGAATTTTATGCAAATAAAAATATGATGAAAAGTACTAAAATGAGACTAGTTACGATTTAATTCATTTTATAAAAAGTCGTATTATTGCACAACGAAATGACACACCAGTAATTCCGGGTTGCAAACTGGATTAAAGGCCTATTGATTTTAATTGGAGGCGATTCAACCAATAGACCGTCTATTTTTAGGCTAGTTGTTAAGCCCCCCATGGAAAAAGAATGATCTAACAATATTACAGCCCGCAGGCAACAGTTCGACTTGATTATAGGTAAGCTAATATATAAAATTTCTGGTGAAGGTCGCTTAAACCACATACCTACTTCCTCAAGTTCGATCGTTACGTGCTTAAAAATATCGATTTCAAGCTCGAAATTTGACACTTTTCTACATTTACTTTAGGAATGTATAGTACATACTTAATTAAAAAATTGCTACAAAAAATCCTTGATATGAATTTCAGGAGGTTTAGATCGTTCTACCGGAATTGTTTCAAAACTTCGTTTGCCACTTGAAACTGTTAGCAAATGACCAGATCAGAAACAAAACGTGTTTTCAAGGCAGTTGTGAAATGGGATGTTTTTTGTCACGTTATAGGAAATATACTGCAAAAACTGGCGATTAATTGAATCAAAGTTATCGGCAATTAAGGAATGTCCAGAATGCAAACTGGACGATTTTTCTTCAGCTAGTTATGACATAATTCGGTTTTTGCTTGATGATTTTAAAGCGTATCATTTATTTATCTTGTTTATTTCCTTGCGTTCAATTTAGGTTGCATTTGCTTTTTCAGATAGCAAAAATGAATAGTTTATGATAGGAAAACCACACAGGAAATTAAACTTGTTACTTTTTACTGACATTGCTCATCCTCATGACCATACGTCCGACTAGTGGCTGCTAGAAAGATTATTTAGACATCCGTTTCATATCATTCCGACATCAATAAAGCAACAAAAAAACACACATATTTGTATCAATTACGTATGGTTAAATGTGAAAGGCATTGCCGCCGCGTCCCACTTAGAAGTTTAAGTATCCAAACTACCATTGTTGTTAAATATAGCAAATGAATCATTTGCTTACCTGGTTTTGAACGGTCGAAACCAAGAGATGTTTTTGCAACACCACGGGATCCTGCTCTCTCAAAATAGCGGCAATTTTCTTCCGATTTGGCATTGAAACTTTGGGCACCTGATTGCCGAGAACTGTATCTAACTCACTACAAGAAAGCCGCCTACTCAAAACCGGGGGCGTTGTCCACACTGGCTGTATTTGACTAGACTCTTTACGATCACCACTCAATAGTTTCAGTTTCTCATCACTAGCACTTTTTGCCACAAATTGCAAATGAAGATCATGGATGCGGGAGTTCACTTCACCTCGTTGGGACACGATCGCCTTCAGTTGCTCCTCCAAGTCGTGCTTGGCGGACAGAAGGTTTTCCAGATCTTCCTGAAGACGGGATGTATGCAGTCGACCTGCCAGGACTTCTGCTTCCATTTCCGCCAGTCTGGAAATATATAAAATAACATTAGAATAATTGGTTTATATGAAAAGATCCTCAGATGGACATGTAACACATAAAGTTATCCTCTTCGAGAGTCCGAATTAAAAAGCACTAAAGCACAAAGAAAATCTATTTCTCGCAAAGAAGCATACTAAGATGTAAAAAGGCACAAAATCTTTCAGTTGCGTAAAAAATCCAATATTTTTCAATGTTAAATCAACTTGTTATAGGTGCATTTCTAAATTTTGACCCCATTGTAAGACCCATAATTGAGTTTCGTACAATTTCCCCATTTAAAACCGAAGAAATATATTTCAACTCCTAAAATCCTTCGTTTTCTGATAAAAAAAATGTAAAAAAAGTGTTGTTTGTAGAATTTGTTCAATTATTTCTTGAACCGAACTTAACCAATGATTTGTTGTGTAGTTTCCCTAACGATTTGATGGTTCCACTTACAAACTTTAAATTACTTTTAATAAAAGCAAGATTATTGGTCAGTTCTCTGTTTTCTAAACGGCATGACAATCTTGTCGGATACATAGTTTTAGCATACATTTTGAAAAATTGACAAAGTTCGATTACCTAGTTGTATACTTTGAGTCCATACATAGAAAATCATTAGCAAAATGTTTTTATATCGCACAGGTTCAGGAAGGTTTCATTTATAAATCTGGATTTATCCGATTTTTGATAATGTGAAATTATAGGATGATTTTTCGCGACTTCCCTCCAAAGCAATCCAAAAATACGTGAAACGATAACCATTCGCCTTTAGATAAAGTAACAATTGTATGAAGGTGTTTACACCGATCAGTAATAAAATAGTTGCAAGAACATCATCTTCGCACTTCTAGAAGCGAACTAATTATTCTCAAACGCTCTTTTCAATATTTTGGGATGCTGATCGGATATAAAAGATTTACAATCACCCATCAGATATCTTTAGTGATTGGACCTGAAATATTTTCTTCATATTCTCTTAAATAGATTTAATATAAACAGCTTAATCAATAGAAATACGGAAAAAAACGTGAACTTTGAATAAATTGGCGTAGTAAATTGTTCGTTCTGTATGAGCCTAATTAGCATTCATATTCATTGCGTGAGAAAGCATGCAATCGACAATTTCCAAGTCCAAGCTTTAATTAATCCGACTATTTTCAACCAGCTATTCATTTGCCTTCAACGGAGTTGAGTTTATATTGATTTATCAAATATTTTTAGACACAAATCAACTAAACATATCTGGCCTCTTAAAAAAACTCTCTTGATCTATTTTTAAAGACACAAAAATCAGAACATCAAAAATCTCAAACAAACAAACTAAACATATGTGTCCTCCTCAGAACATACACAGGAACATTCTTTCTTGGTATTTGCCAACAACAAACTTGCAAATTCTAAAGCCTGGTTGGAAAACATCTCTCGTCCTTAAACTGCTCACATTATCTAATCTGGCATCTCAAGTATTATCATAAATAAGCGTCCTTATACTTTCGACTTTTGTAACGAACTACTTCAGAACTTTACTTACTTCGTTACGCTCAAGGCCTTGTTTTTACATTAAATTACACTCTAAACTACGTGATATAAACGTTGAGTTTGTGTATCCATAAAAAATTCAACGTGTTAACCGGGCTGTCTAAAAAACAATAAGATTCATTCAATTCGATATTCAACGTTGTTCAAAGAGCGGTAATCTAGCTTTAAAAAATTTCTGTTTTGCTCATGTGTATGTGATCAATACTTTTAACTTTTCATAAATTCCTACTTCATTTACTGAAACAAACTAAATAGCGAATATTTATCTTTAGCTCTACTGGCTTAGAATCGATTTAACATTATTGAGTTTAACATTTTATGGTGCTTGAAGCTGGAGTAATCCAAGACAGTTGGCATATTATTGCTGCCAGCTTCGTGCAAATCGACCTAAGAACTTTTAGTTACAAGCCGTATAAAAGAGGAGAAACAAGAGAGTTGCAGACGTTGGGCTCAACAGCCTTTTGCTTTTATCACAGGGAGAACATTTAGTTGAACAAAAAAAATTGTAAAAACTCCTTCGTTCTCTCTATCTAAATATTTGCATTTAAAAGCATGAAAGTAACTCCACTCAAAAGCCGATATTTCAATAAATCTAAAACTAAATTTGCACTTGTGGAAATTTTAGCAATTAAACGTATCAAGCGCTTTCATTTAATTCAATTTGAGAAAATAAATTACAAAGTGCTTATAAAATGCTAAAACAACCGAAAACACACATTCATCTTAAGCCGCGACAAAAAATTTTTGATCTTACAGTAATTGTTTACATAACAATACATGTATATTCCTCCATTTAGCTTTCTTTATAAAGCCATTCACTCTTTACAACTAACTCCGATTTGCGTTTCAACTACAAAAAACGAATCTTGAACATGTTCAATTTCCATTTGTTGGGTCACTTCAAACCTACAAAAATGTACTTTCTTGTCTGCTATAAATAAGATCTACTATTGGCTTTGGTTTTTAACGAAAGAAAAAAATGAAATCTACCGTAACTTATAATCGATTCTTAAAGCCCTTCGTGAGTGAAAACAGCGTTTCATTTAGATGAAAAAACACCGAAGCGTACCCACAATAAACGATCAAGTTCAGCTGGGTTGTTCCGGCTCAACTAGAGCAGGCGAATCAAATACGGACTAGTTATTTCTTGTACAGTGAATGAGATTGAAAAAAATGCACTAACGCGGATCCATGGGTTTGGTACTAAAAACAGTGCAAAGAAAGTACGGCTAAAAACTGTAAAATAAACCATTTAGGACGGATTTTGAAAAAATATGTCAGTACCATAATCAATACCAGTTATTTTAGAGCGTCTCAAATATCACAAGTATAAAAAAGGGATTTTAACTTTGTCATGAACATGGTAGTTGGGTCTCGAAATTGAACATCAAATTTCAATATAAACAAAAAAAAACGAAGAATAGCGTTTTAGCTTGACATAATGAACATTGATCAGCATTGTTCTCGTAATATTTCTGGACTTTTTTCAAGATTACGAATCAAAAGAGACAACTTAAAGGTCAGATCTTAGGTCAGACAATGACACATGTTTATTGTTATAACATTAACTGCATTATGAGTGCATTGACATTTATGTTTCCATTACAATTGTGACTGCTCCAAGAACTGTACCACCATAGGCAGAATAAATTCTCGGAAATGGAATGGATATTGTTCTATTCCAAGCACACAACAAATGGCGTGATTTGAATGTAATGTTTAAGTGTTCAGGTTTTATTCTGCCACTCGAATAAAACAGATGGAACAGTATTTAAAAAAATGTTTATTACATTTATGACCTTTGCAATAAAGGATTATACAAGACGAGCGTCAAAGTTAGAATTAAATAAGATTCTCCAATGTAGATACCATCACCATCAGTTTTATTTAATTATTTAACTGTGCTATTAATTTTTTTGTTACTGCAAGAATATTTGCTTTGAAACTATCTGTAAATTTGAAAAGATGTTTGAAATTAGGGCTTTTTTTCTGGTGCAATTTTCGACGCCTCATATAAAAGCTGGGAAAGTTTTTCCAATATACCCCGGACATAAAAAGAGAGCAAATTTGTATGTAAATGGAAACCAGCAAAGAATACCTAAAACCCTAAATATATTAGGCAAATGAACTACTCGAGCCCAGATGTCTCCGAATATAATTAACATTTTTATTATAATGGCTGCTTCAATTTACGAATGACCTCAATGAAAGTAGTCCAATTAAGGACTCAACTTAATACCAATTGGAAGCTATAAAATTGATTTCGGCTCGAACAATGACACATTTTATTCGATGCCTTGAGATTAGGCTGCAGTGAGGCGCTATAAGTTATCACAAAACCCTTTAAAAGCACTCAATAAATAGTTTGTTATATAACATGTTTGGATGGATATTTTATTATTTTAAGTTCCAATTCTGAATGGTTACATGCAATTTGATTACATCACATTTTTGGATCATGGCCACTAGAAATTTCACTTAGTTTAAAGCGATACTGCTTATCATAAATAAGTTTGCAGCCTAATTGCGATTTTTAAATCGTCAGATTCAACGTTTTCGTAAACTTGTTTCGAGTTCGTCATTCTTTTGACCCAATTAAAACATCATTTTTCTGTTGCAATTCGCTTTTACCGACAATTTCGGTTCTTAATTGCTTATTTAGAAATTGATCGCTTACAAAATGGAGGTCGAAATAAGACGCTACACGCTATAACAATTTGTTTAATAGCGAGCGAAAACTTTGAAACAGTATAATTAAAGTTGCTTCATTTTTTTGCTATTTCTTCGTTGAATTTCTACAAGTTTGACCATTTTTAAGTTTTTCATTCAATTTTTTATTTAACTGTCCCGAACCTATCAGAATCATATAAAATTGACTTACCTATCCAGTAGTAAATCTCTTTCCTGCCTAAGTTGTCGCAAATCGTCAGCAGAAGAATGAAACAGGTCCCTTTGAAAGTTCCCGTCTGGATCCCCAAATGGCGTTTGATCCCGAAGAGTACCTTGAAGAGCTTCAACTTCATCTTTTAATCGGGTGCCTTTTCTGTGAATTATGTCTAGCAGACTCCACAATTCATCTTCAGTTTCATCAGTCTCACTGGTCCCTGAAAAAAAGCCAGAGTTTTTTGTGAGATTTATTAGCGCCGTGCTTGTTTCCAGATAGAAAATATATGTTTAAGGGACGATTTATTCGCTTTCTGATAAACTTGCCAATTATCAGGTCGCAGATCAACAGTTCTGTTGGTTCATCATGTGAGATAACAAACTGGCTCAGCGGATGTTTGAATAAGGGCCGGTTTATTCACTCCCTGTTATTATTTTTTAAATTTTGAATTAATCAATATTTCAGCAAGTAGAAATAATTCGGTAGGATTAGGCTCAGTTGGAAAAAAATCCCAATTAGTATTGGGAAATTTTAATTTAGAAATGTTACCACTAGTTTCCAAAGCAATTTTGCTATCGTTTTCAAACAGTTTGCGAAAAAATAAATATTGTATATTTAAGTAATAAAAGAAAGTGTACTATATAAATTATCAAATACAAATAATCCTTATTTTTCGTGATTCTAACTTAAATAACATAATTGAAAACTAATCAAAACTTCATTCAATCAATTTAATAAAAAAATAAATAAATTAAAATTATAATTTTGATGGTCAATTTTAGATATAGTCTTCGCTTCTTTGATCTACGTCCGATTTTGGAATAAGTAACCTTATGTTGCTTAAATTGAATAAACATGAAGCGACGCACTTAACTTTATTCAGCAAAATGAAATGACTTTCTTAAATTAGCATTTTTTTGTTAATGGTTCCTTTGCATCAACAATTTAAGCAGATAAGTCATTAACAAGAAAACGCAAAGCTGAATAATTCGCTTTAATTATATTCAAAATGAAGATAACTGTGTCGCTTCATGTTCATTCTATATTAGCAAAATCGTACTTAAACTAAAATGTTTTAACATCATAGGATTCGCATTCATTATTATTATTTAGTATATTTTATACGCATTATTATTTTCCGGTGAGACTTGAGCCAAAGTTTAAAGTCCTTAAATTTTCGGAAAGTCTAGAAGCTAAAAGCCAAATAACAGGAACCATAAGTAAACGCCGGGTTCTTTGCAAAACAAGTTTTGGATGTTCATAAAATATCTCGAAATTGAATTTGTTCGCACAATGAATGACTGGTTTATTGAATTTTAAACAAAAATTCCAAGTGAAGAGTTTTTCGTGTCCGAAAATTCTAACTAAAAGGGATTTTTCGCGACTTAAGCGGACAAATAGATTTTGGAATAATAAAAATGTACTGCTTTTGGCGGGACTTGAACCTTGAAAATTTTTCTTATTCCAAAAATTATTTGTCCGCTTAATTCGCGAAAAAATACCTTTTAGCTGAAAATACTTTTTACATAATTCAATAATAAAAGTGTTTCTGAATCCTGCCAAACTTTGCTAATTTCAGTTTAAAAAAAAATTACAATTTAAAAATTTTAGATATTGAGCGGCAGCAATTATGGTGAAAACGGCAAAATACCTTCAAATTGAAATTTAGTAAAAATTGTTTAAAGAAAATGAGCAAAATATTACGAAACTTGTAACCAGAAATACCAATTCTGTAATTGGACTAATGTGGTCGTTATCAAGTCTTCGATGAAAGAAATAAACATTTCTTTCCGAAAAAGGAGAACATTTATAAAACGCGGGCACAAAGAATAGAACATCCTTAAATTTTCTCAATCATGTATTTCCAGAAAAAAACCGCAGAATTTTGTGAATGTGAATAAACGGACCCTAAAATAATTAAATGCTTCCATGCATTTATTCAATGCTTAAAATTGTATAGCTGTATTTTTAAAAGATTTAAATTAAACTCTATTTTTATATTAAGTTTGAAACCGTGTTTTAAACAGTTTTGCGATTTTCAATATAATGCGTAAATCATGCACTGTTGTTAATTATTTCAAAAAAGAGAAAATCATTTAGTGAATAAAAATTCATTATACATGCGTGCTTCCAGTAAGGAGAGAGACTTGAAAATGAAAGTTGGACATGTCATGGCATGTTTTAAAATGGCAAAATTGCAACATAAAAGCTGTGCGACCGCATTGAAAAATCATTTGTGGAAAGCAAAGCCGGTGATTAAAAAAAAAAAATCATCGAAATAATTTGAAAGGCCATTTCATCGGTAATTTGTTAAGCTTGAAGAAAACAAAGACTTCTTCAGTTCAAATTTGCGATGTGAAAAATTGCCATACCTGTTGCAGAGTTAGACGTAGGCACTGTAGAAGAGGCACTATGAGTTTCCTTACTCGAAGCCTCCGTACTGAACCCCGAGTCCTGGACGGCTGAAGTTGAGGATGCGGCCGCTGACTCGCTTCCACTCTTCTTCTCCTTGCCACTGGAAATGCCCAATTTTTTCCTCACTCGAATGCCTGGCGTCCAATCGCCCGGCCGGATGGATATTGGAATGTTGGAGTGATGAACATGGTGTCCTGAAATAGGACGACCAAATTTCGTGGTAAGTAACCGTGTCATGGGAATGGGAAGCAATCGTTTTACCTGTCATGGTGGCTGGTGTCGAATTAGCTGAGTTCTGTTGGTGCAACTTCGAGCGCAAGTTGGGAAACGTTTCCATGACAAGGTCTCGGAACTCGAGAAGGGCCCCAACTTCGTTCTGCAGTTCTTGCAGCGCGACCAGGGACTTTGCTTGTTCGTTGATGAGATAATGGAAGGGCCCAGCGGGCTGGTGTGGGCGCCCTCCAAGGCAATCCACGCCATGGCCCACGCATTCGTGGTCCACGGACTCAGACTCCTGAAAAAAAAAACACCGATTTAGTTAGCGGTTCTAATTCGCCAACTATTTTTTATTTGACAAAGGTGTACAAAGGTATGATCCCAAGTTGTTCAAAAACATTATTTAAAAATAAATTAGATTAGAGACAAGTGTTTCCCAGTTTTAAAACTTGTGGAAGTTTTTTATAACAAAAAACTTCAAAATTTTACGATTTTCAGATTGAAATGAAGATATCTTTAAACCCAAAAAATGCCATTTAGTCCAAAAGCCCTAAAAAATGCTAAGTTTGAGTCTCTCTCTCCAGCAACGTTGTTCAGCACTGTGCGTGCAAGCAAAACCCGGTTTTTGGATCAGTTGACTCAGCGGTGATTCTGGAAATTTTAATCGCCTAGTTACTGATGGTAAATTATCAAGTTATATTGCATTAATATCAAACAATGAGTAATACCTCAAAATTCCACTCATACCGGCAATTACCACTAATATCAGTAAAACCCCATATCAGTAAGTATAATAAGTTTTTCATCACTCTTTCCTTCGATTTTCTATGTAGCTACATCAACAAACATGCAGAAAAAATATTAGATTGTAGATAAGTTCTATATTGTTGAGGCGGATTCATTTTTTTATTACAAACTTCTTTTGGGTATTTCGTCTCAAAAATTTTTGTCTTTAAAAAATACAGAATTTCCTCACGTCTTTTATTACAGATTGATAAATAGTGCTCCTATTTCGCAATAAGAACGAATTATTTATCAAAAAGTAATCA